CCTTCCAGGGTCTGCATCCCCTGCCCTGCAGTGTAGGTGAGGCTGGCCTGGGTGGCTCCTTCCTGTCCCTGGTTCCTCATGGCAGGTAGCTGTGTCCTAAGCATGTATGGCTTGTTAATTTTTTCCCCACAAAAACAAAGCATATTCATGATAGTTTCACATTTTAAAAAATGCCTCAGCCTTACCATGGCCAAAGGTGTCCTTAATTCACACAAACACACGTGCACGTGCACATGCACGCACACTCACACCTCTAAGCAGTTACCTTCTCTGGCATTGCTCCTTCCCCACATGGGGAATAACTGCAAACTCTATTAAGATCCTATATATGCTTTTTTTCCCTCCAAGAGTTGATTTTTTTTTCTTTATCCTTTTTGTCTTGGCTCCCCTTTCTGCCGAGCTTCCTCCTTGACACACAACACAAACCCACCGGGCTCAAAGTAAATTCTCTTGACAACCCAGTATAAATTCTTCCTTATTTGTCCAGGCCCTTTAATCCTATATAGACAGAAACACAAACACACACACATGCATATACAAATACAGAATTTTCACTATTGTCTGAATTTTGTTTTCCTGACTCAAAACATAGTTTGGATGCTTCAGAGTCAACAGACAGATTTAGCTTATTCTTTTCAATGGTTAAATATTATTCTTGTGGTATGAATGCATCATAATTCATACCCTCTCTTTCCTATTTATATGAAAATTCACATTGCCTCCAGTTTTTACTACTAAAGACAACGCTACTATAAATATTTTTACATTATGTCTCCACAGTACAATGCTTTATTTCAATGGGATAGATTCCAAGTGGACTTGCTAGGTAGTGGATTATACTTATATTAAAATGCATATATGTATACATGTTGTATATTTCTCTTTTATGTTGCCAGATTGCCTTCTAAAACGGTGCAATGCTAACATTTCACTAACAATTAAATTACCCTTTACCCTACATCGTCTACAGCAATAGATATTAAGGGTCTTTTTAGTTTTGTCAGTCTAAAATGTGTAAAATATGATAACATTGCTCATACATAATGTTTATTTTCCAGACTACTAGAGAATTT